CACAGTTATAAGTCACTTCCAGCATTCGACGATCACATGTTGTCAGAGCAGGGAAAGCCAACCAAGGAGCAGAATTGCACCAAACCAGCGAGGCTGTCACCATCCAACGCCACCCCCAAACATTTAGAGGCAGCATCTTATCTTATATGTCCCTGAACAGCTACGGTGTTTCAGCTCGGAGCGTCAAACTCCAAACTTTTCAAGCTAACAGGGATATTTAGACTTGGTGAGAATATCAGTGAAAAAGAGCAAGTTTGATGCACAGAATGTGAAAGTAAACAAGTAAAAGTATTACACACTGTGGCTTTAAGTGATGCTTCACCGTTTGTTTTTATTGCAACATAATGTCTGATAACATATCCCACAGAGAGTCCCGCTGCAACGAGGCCCGTTTTAGCACAAGCCCGCATGGTTAGTCCGTCTGGTGCCAGAAACAGCTCTACTCTTTAACTGTCTACGCTGTCCGGTGCCAGAAAAAGCTCTACTCTATAACTGTCTACACTGTCCGGTGCCAGAAACAGCTCTAATCTTTAACTGTCTACGCTGTCCGGTGCCAGCAACAGCTCTACTCTATAGCTGTCTACGCTGTCCGGTGCCAGAAACAGCTCTACTCTTTAACTGTCTACGCTGTCCGGTGCCAGAAACAGCTCTACTCTTTAACTGTCTACGCTGTCCGGTGCCAGAAACAGCTCTAATCTTTAACTGTCTTCGCTGTCCGGTACCAGAAACAGCTCTAATCTATAGCTGTCTACGCTGTCCGGTACCAGAAACAGCTCTACTCCAAAACTGTCTATGCTGTCCGGTACCAGAAACAGCTCTAGTCTGTAACTGTCTATGCTGTCCGGTACCAGAAACAGCTCTATGCTGTAACTGTCTACGCTGTCCGGTACCAGATACAGCTCTACTCTTTAACTGTCTACGATGTCCGGTACCAGAAACAGCTCTACTCCAAAACTGTCTACGCTGTCCGGTACCAGATACAGCTCTACTCCAAAACTGTCTACGCTGTCCGGTACCAGAAACAGCTCTACTCTATAGCTGTCTATGCTGTCCGGTACCAGAAACAGCTCTACTCCAAAACTGTCTACGCTGTCCGGTACCAGATACAGCTCTACTCTGTAACTGTCTACGCTGTCCGGTACCAGAAACAGCTCTACTCCAAAACTGTCTACGCTGTCCGGTGCCAGAAACAGCTCTACTCTATAGCTGTCTACGCTGTCCGGTGCCAGAAACAGCTCTACTCTTTAACTGTCTACGCTGTCCGGTACCAGAAACAGCTCTACTCTGTAACTGTCTACGCTGTCCGGTACCAGATACAGCTCTACTCTGTAACTGTCTACGCTGTCCGGTGCGAGATACAGCTCTACTCTGTAACTGTCTACGCTGTCCGGTGCCAGATACAGCTCTACTCTGTAACTGTCTACGCTGTCCGGTGCCAGATACAACTCTACTCTGTAACTGTCTACGCTGTCCGGTGCCAGATACAGCTCTACTCTGTAACTGTCTACGCTGTCCGGTACCAGAAACAGCTCTACTCCAAAACTGTCTACGCTGTCCGGTACCAGATACAGCTCTACTCTGTAACTGTCTACGCTGTCCGGTACCAGAAACAGCTCTACTCCAAAACTGTCTACGCTGTCCGGTGCCAGAAACAGCTCTACTCTATAGCTGTCTACGCTGTCCGGTGCCAGAAACAGCTCTACTCTTTAACTGTCTACGCTGTCCGGTACCAGAAACAGCTCTACTCTGTAACTGTCTACGCTGTCCGGTACCAGATACAGCTCTACTCTGTAACTGTCTACGCTGTCCGGTGCGAGATACAGCTCTACTCTGTAACTGTCTACGCTGTCCGGTGCCAGATACAGCTCTACTCTGTAACTGTCTACGCTGTCCGGTGCCAGATACAACTCTACTCTGTAACTGTCTACGCTGTCCGGTGCGAGATACAGCTCTACTCTGTAACTGTCTACGCTGTCCGGTGCCAGATACAACTCTACTCTGTAACTGTCTACACTGTCCGGTGCCAGATACAGCTCTACTCTGTAACTGTCTACGCTGTCCGGTGCCAGATACAACTCTACTCTGTAACTGTCTACGCTGTCCGGTGCCAGATACAGCTCTACTCTGTAACTGTCTACGCTTTCCGGTGCCAGATACAGCTCTACTCTGTAACTGTCTACGCTGTCCGGTGCCAGAAACAGCTCTACTCTGTAACTGTCTACGCTGTCCGGTGCCAGATACAGCTCTACTCTGTAACTGTCTACGCTGTCCGGTGCCAGATACAGCTCTACTCTGTGACTGTCTACGCTGTCCGGTGCCAGAAACAGCTCTACTCTGTAACTGTCTACGCTGTCCGGTACCAGAAACAGCTCTACTCTATAGCTGTCTACGCTGTCCGGTACCAGATACAGCTCTACTCTATAGCTGTCTACGCTGTCCGGTGCCAGATACAGCTCTACTCTGTAACTGTCTACGCTGTCCGGTGCCAGAAACAGCTCTACTCTGTAACTGTCTACGCTGTCCGGTGCCAGATACAGCTCTACTCTGTAACTGTCTACGCTGTCCGGTGCCAGATACAGCTCTACTCTGTGACTGTCTACGCTGTCCGGTGCCAGATACAGCTCTACTCTGTAACTGTCTACGCTGTCCGGTGCCAGATACAGCTCTACTCTGTGACTGTCTACGCTGTCCGGTGCCAGAAACAGCTCTACTCTGTAACTGTCTACGCTGTCCGGTACCAGAAACAGCTCTACTCTATAGCTGTCTACGCTGTCCGGTACCAGATACAGCTCTACTCTATAGCTGTCTACGCTGTCCGGTGCACGTTTGCTTCTCTCCTTCATGTTTTTGAGCAAAACGATGAAAGCATTAGCAGCAACTCAGCGTACAAACAACCTGTTTGATTTTCTCTCTCAGCACTTTTCTGCAGCGTGATGTCGTGATGCTGATGAATGTTTATGTCACAGTGAACAACAAGAGTTGATGCTGTATTTGTCCATATCTCTCATTTAAATAATAACCAACAATGCCTTGGTAAGTATGGGTTGTTGTTCTGTACTCTTTTAGACTGTACGTGTATATTTGCCATTCCTACATGGACCCATCCAAGCTATGGGTGATATTTTTCAGTGAGTTGTCAGATTTCACCCTCGCCGACACTCACCAACTTGTCTTTAGTGATTCTCGTGCTCGACAGGCGATGAGAGATAAAAGAAAAAAACATTTTTTAGCTTGAAATGTTGACAACTCAACCCAAAAATATATCATGAGAGACTTCATTGGCTTCTGATTTAATTGTGTGAGGCTTTTAAATCATGTAAAAGCGACACTGAGCAAGCCTTTTACACGTGAGATGAAGTCAGTGGTCAGCAAACTCCCCTTTGTCAATGTCCCCCAATTGCTGTGCGATTGCTTCAGGGCAGCAGCTCCAGTTGGACCGCATGGCGGGGGTTCTCCGGCTTTATGGCGGGTTGCTAAAACAACGAAAGAGCAAATGAAAAGTTGATGATTGATTTCCGAGCTGGATCTGGAAGCATGGTCTTACTCTAGTGCCTGCAGCAACCTCAGCAGTGCTGGTGCATGTTGGTAAACTTACATCAACACTCAGTTCATGTAGAGGTCACGACCCCTCCCACATTCTCCATGGCTGCCATGGATCTTTACCACAGCTGGGCTGTTCAGATGAGCGGGTAAAGACAGCTGTCCATGTCTGCTTCCTGTTCGGTCTGGGATCCACCGCCAACACACGACTAGTGATACACACCTGTGTGTGTGTGTCTGTGTGTGAGTGTGTGTGTGTGTGCCTGTGTGTGAGTGTGTGTGTCTGTGTGTGTGTGTGTGTCTGTGTGTGAGTGTGTGTGTCTGTGCATGTGTGTGTGTGTCTGTGTGTGAGTGTGTGTGTCTGTGCATGTGTGTGTGTGTCTGTGTGTGAGTGTGTGTGTCTCTGTGTGTGTGTGTGTGTGTGTGTGTGTGTGTGTGTGTGTGTGTGTGTGTGTGTGTGTGTGTGTGTGTGTGTGTCTGTGTGTGAGTGTGTGTGTGTGCCTGTGTGTGTGTGTCTGTGCATGTGTGTGTGTGTCTGTGTGTGTGTGTGTGTGTGTGTGTGTGTGTGTGTGTGTGTGTGTGTGTGTGTGTGTGTGTGTGTGTGTGTGTGTGTGTGTGTGTGTGAGTGTGTGTGAGTGTGTCTGTGTGTGTGTGTGTGTGTGTGTGTGTTTGTGTGTGTGTCTGTGCATGTGTGTGTGTTTGTGCATGCGTGCATGTGTGTGTGTGTGTGTGTGAGAGAGAGAGAGAGAGTGTGTGTCTTTTTGTGTATCTGTGTAGGTGTGCCTATGTGTGTGTGTGTGTGTGTGTGTGTGTGTGTGTGTGTGTGTGTGTGTGTGTGTGTGTGTGTGTGTGTGTGTGTGTGTGTGTGTGTGTGTGTGTGTGCATGTATGCGCCTATGTGTGTGTGTGGTGGTGTGGTGCAGTGCAGCTGGCTCCACCCATACATGGATGTGTGTGTGTGTTTCTCTGCATCACCCTATCGTGCAGAGCAGGGTTAGGGTTACCAAGCCCACACCAAAGCTTCATCCAACAGAGACGTGACTCAAAGCCGACACGCTGCAGCTCGACTGCATGAGTGGAGCGAGAGTCCGACCGCGGCTGGAAGCTCCAGCCTGTCAGGAGCTCTCAGCTCCAAGCAGCAGTCCTGCATGGCAGCTCAGACCCTGAACACGCCGTCTGCTGTCTGTGCTTTCAGCGTTCACACCCGCTCCATCTAAACCTCTTTCTCTGTTTCCTTCTTATTTCTCTGTTCTCTAACACCCGGGAACCACAGGCTTTGGTAAGCATCTGCCATCTGTGTTGGCTGGATCCCACATTTTTAACATTAGTAGCTAAAACACGTTTTATCAGACAAGAAGGAAAAGTCAAGCTGCTAAGTTAAATTCAGCTTTTAGAATTGAACAAACTATTGGAACTGACTGGAAATCCCCGAGTTGATCCTGTTTTCCTCTCCTCCTCCAGACCCTCACTGCTCGAAAGGCAGGCATCTCGTTTGCTCTGGTGAACCGGTCCACCCTGAATAACGAGGAACTGGTGAGTTTGTTCTTCAACCATAACCCCCACACCCCAACAACGAGTTCATTCAGCCAGCATGGGCTCTCCTGTATGTGAGGCAGCCGTTTATTTCATCAGCTCAGACGTCCAGGACGATGAAGCGGTTCCTCCTCTAGCCTGTGTTGGTGCTGCAGCGGGACTAGGTCACTGTCACGTTTGGCGTTGGGCGTCACCCGGGCTGGTGATGCAGCTTGTGTTTGTCCTGTAGCTTTCTGCCTTGTTTTAGAAATAAAACTGTAAAAGTCTTCAACTTTAATTCCAATTCCTTCACATTTCTGGGTAAATGTGAGGTTTTCCAGTAAAAGTCGGCGTGAGTCCCATTAAGGGCTAAAGGCTTAATGACGGCTGTTTGTTGTCGCTGCTCCTCAGCCGCTCAAGTCGAGGTTTGCATCCATCATCCCATCATCCGCCCGCACGGTGTGAGCGCTGCAGCTCTCTGACCGCTGCTGGGTTTTTATCAAGCCCTCCATCGTCTGACAGGTTTGGACGTTCGTTCAGAGAACGCTCAGCCGTCGGTACTAACACCGGTGCATTGTGGTGGTGTGTGACACTTGAGTGTTGACCTCTAAAGCTACCTCTGCTTTAATTGATTGCAATGGTTGCCTCCCTGAGGGAAGATGGTGTAACAGGAGGAAACCAGCGGGAGAAATCCGTTTCCCAGGAAGCAGAGGAAGAATGCATTTTCACATCCGCTGATGTGCAGCAAGCAGCTGCCTAAGCCTGCAAGATTACAGGATTTAAATGAGCTCTGCACACACTGGGCTCTGGTTTGATGTTTTCAGAAGGTCTCAGTGTGGCCTTTTATTTGTGCACATGTTGAAGTCACACTTGACCCGTTCCCCGTGGCCGGTCTGGTCCAACAGGCTGTGCTGAAGGGTTTCAACTCTTCAGGATCCACAACCACCGCTAGGCGAGGCTGACGCGACACGTGCTGAACCAGCCAGCTGAGGAGGCATTGATGCTCACTATTCAGATCTGGAGCAAGTGCAGAGGCTGCTGAGGTTGTGATTGGTGGAGGCAAACGGACTCCTGATGAAGCTCGGTGCTGCTGGTAAGTAGGACAGACAGATGTCAGAGTTTCATCCGCTGCGCTAAGTCCAGCCGCCGTGTTCCAGTGGGAGATTGTAGCAGGCTTTGGGATGAAGATGAGAGAGGAAGACCAAATGAAGGCCGAGGAACGGATCAGAGAAGACAAATGTAGACAATGATTGGTCATCACAATCCCCTGGCCCTGGTGCCACAGCTCCGGCAGCCATGTTGCACAATCTGCCCCCTCCCCCCCAGGAGTAATCTGAATCTATCCAGAGAGCTTTCTTCTCCTTCCAGCGTCTCTCTCTCTAATCTCTGTGCCACCATCTCTCTTCCTTCTCTCTCTCTAACTTGTGACGGGGCGTCAGCCAGCCCAGATGTGCAGAGCTCTCGCTCAGCATCGGTCTTCATGGTCATGTTTCCCTGCCTCAGCTGGTCAGAGCACAAAGGAGCGTCGTGAGTGGACCGGGTGATGGCCTGTGTGTCCTCCCAATGTTCTGAGCTGCATGTGATGCGAGTGCGGCGGCCCTCCAACAGCAGGAAGAGCGGCCATGTTTGCCCGCCGAGACGAGGCGGTGACTCTAACGAGGCTAGAAGGTGGCTGACACGAGTCAGCAAGTCTCTGGAAATAAGATGTGATGTTCTTCTGCAGGTCTGCTCTGATGTGACCGGACCTCACCTGGCTCGGTAGGTCCAGATGATGTTGGGAAGCAAACATCAGCTGGGTTTGACCTGTCCGAAGCTTTTACTGAGGCTAGAAACTTATTTGGTTCTTGCTAAAGCCGAAGCTGCTAAACACGGAGGAGAGGGAGCGCTGACGAGGACGGGCGGTGGGATGAGTTCTTCACGCTGCTCTCGGCACGGCTGCATCTGTCAGTCCGCTCTAGCAGAGCTTCTCACCCAATCACCAGGGTCACCTCAGAGTGTCACACACGAGGCCGGTGTCCTCGCAGCAGGAACACACTGATGGTGAAATGAGTCAGAACCTGTGTTCACACGTTCATGCGCTCACTACCGACGCTGCTTTGTTGATTTAACGAAGCAACATGTTGCTAATCTGGTGGATTGAGCCCTCTGGAGGCAGGCGTTGCAGATTAGCTACGTTAAAACCTACCTGGTTGCTCCACATCCGTGTTTCATGAGCGTTTGGACCTCAGAAGTTCCCCTGAAGGACTTCGTTGTTGGTCCTTTTATCAGAACGTGTATTGGGCCTGAGAGGGTTAAGTCTTTGTGGGCGTGGCTCTGGTCTGATGCGTGGCGTGAGCCTTCTTCTGCTTTATGTCATCTCTCTGTCGCCCCGTGTTTCACCGGCCTTCCTCCACGTTGTACCAGCCGCGTTGTCCCGCCATCCGTGTCCTTTCATCATGTCTGCCAGACGTGTCTGAGCGGGCTCCGGCTGAAGGGCAGAGGTACAGCCCAGGTGCTGAAGCACACCGTCAGCACTGGGAGAGGGAGGGGGTGGCGGCCCCTCAGAGATTTATTCACCCGCCATTCATCATTTTCTTTCTCTCTCCCTCAATCCAGTTAATGCTCACTTTTAAAAAACCTTATTTACAGCGTCCATCGATTCTGCGTCAGGAGCTGGCAGCGCCGTGCCCGTCGGAGGTCTCTGTGGCAGAAAAACCCTCGTCTGCAGTGTGGGCGCCCCCCCCCCCCACACCCTCCTAAGAGGCCGAGGAGTTTTTAATGTAATCTGACCGGGGGGGGGGGGGGGGGGGGGGGGATGGGGGGTGCAAGTGTAATCAGATTTAAAAGGACTCAAACTTTACTTTCACACGTGGAGCAGGAAGATGCTCCACGCTTGTTGGAAGCCTGCCCAGCTCCCGCCGCTGCAGCTCGCTCGCGCTCCGCTCGGTTCTCATCTTTTCTGTCAAACTTGATCATTTCTCTGTTTTCTTTGCTTTCTGCCAGAAACTGCACGTCTTCAAGAAGACTCTCCAGGCCCTGATCTACCCAATTTCATCCACAACGCCCCACAACTTCGAGGTGTGGACGGCCACCGCCCCCACCTACTGCCATGAGTGTGAGGGGCTGCTGTGGGGCATCGCCCGCCAGGGCATGCGCTGCTCAGAGTGCGGCGTCAAATGCCACGAGAAGTGCCAGGACCTGCTCAACGCCGACTGTTTACAACGTAAGAACCAACCGCTGGTGAATGCGTCTGCTGCTGGGATCGAACCACAGTTTCTGCTGTTATTGGTTTTTATCATCAACTCAGGATGAAATGATGTCAGAAGTCTTGTTTTCATGTTAAAGGTGCTTCAGTGTAGAAGCTGCAAACTAGCGCCCCCTGTGGTGAGGGTTAGGGTGAGCTGCAGTGCACCTGTCTGTCTGAGCAACACCTTCTCACACCTTCGCACCGAGAAACGACACGTGTTTCCCACGCGTAGGGAGCCGCTGGCATCGGGAGACGGCGCGCTGTGCCAGAGCGTCGGAACCCGATGCTCGCGATAAAACTGACATTTGTCCGAATTTGACCTTTACCCTTTTGCTCTTTACCCTTCCCCTCTCCCCCATCCTAACCTTAACCAGCTTGCACGTGCAAAGCTTTGTTTCGCGTTTTGTCATTCCTCTCAAACGCGCTTAACGGGAAATTTACACAACATACTGGGTCAAGGTTAGGGTGGGGGTGAGGGGGCGTTTGAACGTGGGCGTGGCCTCCCGACGCGCAGGGGCTGCCTACGCGTGGGAACCAAACACTTGGTCACACTTGGCTGTGGGAAGGTGTTGGCTTGAGACGGGACCTCTGCAGATGGAACGCCGTATGTCTGCTGGTTTGGACTGGAGGCCCTGGTGCTGGTTCTTGCTGCTTGTGTTAGTTCTGCTTCGTGCTGAAACGGAAGTGAAGCTGCAGGATGGAGCGGTTTTAAGACAACACGAGCTCTTGGCTGCACTCAGGCTAGCCTCCTTTGGACAAAACCTTTTCTCCAAACGGAGGCCGTTCAGGAAGCCCTCCACAACACCTACAAAGTCATGTAGAGTCAGCCACGCCTGTGGGAGGTTTCAGGTGCACACACCTGTACGTGTCCGACCACAGCTGCAGCCTTGCAGGGTCAGGGTTAGAACAGCAAACACTAAGACCAAGACACTGTGATCGGATAATCAGAGGTGAGTGCTACACGGGCCTGAGCGGCCTCACTCGTGAGAAGGAAACCATCTGGACACGACGCGGCGGCTCCCGGCTGCTGAGGCTGCTCAGGCCACCGGCTTTTAGCAGGAGGTTTGTAAAGCTAGAGGACATGAGATGTGCGGCTAATCTCGAACCCCGGATCTTTTCCAGGAGCCGTGGAGAAAAGCTCCAAGCATGGAGCCGAGGACAAAACCCAGAACATCATCATGGCCATGAAGGAGCGCATGAAGATAAGGGAGAAGAACCGCCCGGAGGTCTTCCAGGTGATTCAGGAGATGTTCCACGTCTCCAAGGAAGAGTTCGCTTCCCATCTGAAGACAGCCAAGCAGGCGGTTCTGGACGGGACCTCCAAATGGTCCGCCAAAATCAGCATAACAGGTTCATCTGTTTATGTCCCTCCATGTCCTGGTGCTTGTGCATGTGACCTCTGACCTTTAACCCTTAACGACAAACGCTGCTGTTCTGAACTCGTGTCTGATATTGACCTGCCACACGTGTCATCGGGTGGTTGTGTAGGTGCAGAGGAGGTAACCGTTACGGTGATTAATGTGGACGATGACTATGATGCACTTGGCCATGAGACCTGGCTCCTCCTACCGAGGAAACGCCGCCGCTGCGTGGCCGTCACACCCCAACAGTGGTAACGTTCCTCGTCTGAGCTGAGAACGTTTAGCGGATCCAGACCTGTAGCTTTCAGCGCACCGAGACAGACGCTGTGTGTTTAACTCGAGGGTTTAGGTTAGGGTCTTCGTGCGTTTTTCATCCTTTTAGCTCCAGTTTATAACCGTGTTCGGTTCTCCTGCAACCACAGAGTAAAAAGGGTCGTGTGTGATGTGACCTGCTGTCCTGGTGCATGTCCATCCCTCTCATCAGATGCTACTGATACAGTCATGTCCTGCTTCCTTCCGTCAAACCGGCTCCTAAAAGGAAAGCCAGAGTTTTAGCTGCAGTCTGAAAGCCCCCCCCCCCCCCCCCCCCCCAGCTCGTTTAATGCCCACCTTGCATTTCCCCATGCCAACACACCGCAGAGGCACAGCTGGTGTGGGGGGAGACAGATGGAGAGGAAAAGCAAAACCCACGTGTGATCCAGCAGCAGTTATTCTTTTAAAGTGAAGTTTGCTTTCCGTAGACTCGGAGCCGGACACGTCTCACAAATCCTGATGTTTACAAACCGGCTTAAAGCAGCTTTAACCCAAACTCACCGAAGGGAGAACCTGTGTGTGTGTGTGTGTGTGTGTGTGTGTGTGTGTGTGTGTGTGTGTGTGTGTGTGTGTGTGCTAATGAAGCAAAGCTCAGAAAAGATGTTCCTGTCTCACACCCTCTCTGTCTCACTCTCACAAACACAACAGCGGGTGAATACCGACCCGTGAGGCCAGAGTGGTTCATCATTCCTACGGATCATGCACACCAGAGCCCCCCCCCACCCCCCACCCACCCCCCACCCCACCCCCCATTCTTGGTCTGGGTCTGGTTCTGGTTCTGGGTCTGGTTCTGGGTACTGATAGTGTCCACAGGCCAAACATGTTCATTAATCAGGAAATGGAACGGTCCCGTCACCGCTGACTGTTTTACTGGTTCTGGACCGCTGGTCCGACACCTGCAGCTCGGGGTCCACACGAGGCTCTTCCCTCTCTGAAGTGGTTCCTTGTTAGTCTGACCAATCACAACGCGTTGTTTATATTCAAATGAACCCAGCTAAAGCGCTGTTTATTATGTGGAGGGCGTTGAGGCGACCCTTGTCGTGATTTGGCGCCAGACGAGTAAACCTGCATCGAACTGAATGAATGCATTCGTTTCCCGCTGATGAACACGCGGCAGACGGCCCTGCCTTCCTCATCAAATGTGTGATTTTTGTGCCTTCATGTATAAAAAATAAAGAAGGAAAAGTCATAGATGAGAAGCTCTTACTTTGAAGGGCCGACCCAGTTTTTCTGCATGGAGAGAAGGTGAGATGAGGTCCTCGTCCTGAAGCACGTGGAGTTCAGAGGTCACAGAGCGGCTGTAACTCCTGATGACTTTAGTTTGTTGATGATTTCAGTTCCTTCTGTGATGGTGGGCTACTTCCTGTCAGCACAGGTAAACGCAGACAGGTGAGCTGAAGCTGTTGGGTGAAGAACTATTTCATGAATCAGCTGCATCGGCCACGCCCGACACCTGTCCGTGGGTTTGTGGGCGCCTGTGCTTCAGTCTGTAGAGTGAAGCACAGGCTTTATCTCAGACGTGTTTCCACCAGGACCGGGTTTCTGCACCAGGACCGGGTTTCTGGACCAGGACCGGGTTTCTGGACCAGGACCGGGTTTCTGGACCAGGACCGGGTTTCTGGACCAGGACCGGGTTTCTGGACCAGGACCGGGTTTCTGGACCAGGACCGGGTTTCTGCACCAGGACCGGGTTTCTGGACCAGGACCGGGTTTCTGGACCAGGACCGGGTTTCTGCACCAGGACCGGGTTTCTGGACCAGGACCGGGTTTCTGGACCAGGACCGGGTTTCTGCACCAGGACCGGGTTTCTGTACCAGGACCAGGTTTCTGTACGAGTTTCTCCACATGTAGCGGTGACGGGTTTTGGACCAGGACCAGGTGACGGGTAGCGGTGACGGGTTTTGTCTTCCACCCATGCTGTGATGTAATGGAGATGAACCCAGCTCCTTGCTTCTGACTCTCCAGAACGTTTGCATGCCTGAAGTGTTCTGACTGCTGGTGTTTTTGTGTGCAGTCATGTGTGCTCAGGGTCTTCAGGCCAAGGACAAGACCGGCTCCAGTGACCCGTACGTCACCGTCCAGGTGGGAAAGACAAAACGCAGGACCAAGACCATCTTTGGTAACCTCAACCCGGTCTGGGACGAGAAGTTCTACTTGTGAGTGCTCTCCGATCATTATCATTGTTCTAACTCTTTCATCTGGAGTGAGATGAGGACTAGTGAGCTTCAGAGAGCGTGACAGCAGTGAGTCTGTCTTGATGGTCTTCACTTTGTCTGGCCAGCGTACGTCTGCTCGAGCTTTCCTCTCTCTCCATCTTTGTTTGGGTTCTTCGTTGCTTTATAAAACCAGGGTCACCAGGTGTTCGGCTAAAACGAAGAAGTCAGTGGGAGACGAAACAGAGCAAGTTTCTAGGAGGCGAACCAGAGTATGGATTCTTAAATGAGAAGTGTTATGAAGCCTTTGGAGTGGTTGCCATGGTTACAGTAACAGACGCTAGCAGTGCTGAGACGAAGCTGCTCAGCAACATGGATCTGGCTGCAAAGCCACACAGAGAAGGACCTGCAGCACGTAGAAAGGGGCGGAGTCTGTCCGTTGTCAGACGCTGCAAATGGTGCGATGGCATTCCAGAACCGAAGAGGGCGCTGTAGCTAATGTCCCTAACATGTAGGAGCAAAGGTTCCGGCTCTTGAAAACTGTACGCTTTGTGGCTACACTCATGCCTTTGCTGCTGTCTCAGCTGCTCTTTGGTCCGTGTAAAGATGGTTCCTGCAAATGGAAGAAAGTAGCCCACTACCAGGCATGTCTCCTCCCTTCAAGCTGCTCTGGTCTTGATTCTGGTTCCTGGACATTCTGACAAATCACTTCAACTGGGACTCCGACACAAAGAGGCTGGATGGCACAGGACACGTGTGCCGTAACAGGTCCAGTGGTGAAGCGGCTGTGGTTCCCCTCCCAGTCGCAGCGTGTCCTGGTTCTCTAGCTGCCCTTGCCTGTTACGTTTTCAGCCAGCTGTTGGTGAACGGTACAGGTTATTTCTTTAACCTGTGTGAGTCCATGTGTGAGCAGCGCATCAACTACAGTTCTGCTTAGCACCGACCCAGTTCAATCAAAGTAAAATATAAATCAATGAAATCTGATTCAGCTGGCTAAATAAAGTACTGCTGACCCCACCTGGAGTCCAATCTGCAGAGCACTGGCGCCACCGGTTCCTCCGACCACCACCAGCAGGCAAGGTGGGTTAAGTGTCTTGCCCAAAGACACAACAGCAGTATTCTCTAGTCGGAGCTGGGATCGACCCTGCAACCTTCCAATTACTGGACGACCCGCTCTACCTGCTCATAGTAGTATTACCAGAGTACTGTTGAGTCTAAACTCGAACAGCCTTAAATCACATGGGTCTGACAACGGACCCGACGCTGCCCCTTCCTGCGTGCCGCCGCCAGGTCCACCTGGGCTGAGAGTTCTCACACGGCGACTGAAGGAAAGCAAGAGGAAGAGAAACCCATCAAGAAAGCTCTCCGGAACTGCAGATACCCAGACTGGACCTTTGTGAAAGTCTGGAAAGCATCCATAGCAGCACCCAGCAAAGAACAGGACAACCACCATCCCACAGCCGTATCCCCTCACCCTCAGACTGGACCAGTGACATGCCGCTGGTGTAGAAGGTTTAGGATGCCGTTGTGTCGCCACTAATATACTGTATTATATTATTCTCTGGGTCCGGTCCGTTTCAAATGGAAACATCTACAGAGTCACTGGTTCTACTGGTAACGGTTTGGGTCATCGTGGGTTTTATTTGTTGCAACACACTTACAGTATGATCAGTACACTTCAGGGGCGTCCGCGTTTTTAAACAACGGAAATCTGTTTGTGCTCATAAACAGTTAATGAACACATCTTCATCATCATCATCATCAAACTTATATCACGCTTGTTTAGAACGCTCAAAGACGCTTTCACACACTCTCACACTACTACTGATGGTAAGCTACTACGTAGCCACAGCCGCCCTGAGGCGGTCTGACAGAGGCGAGGCTGCCATTCCGCGCTGTCGGCCCCTCTGACCACCACCACCACAGGCAAGTTGGGTGAAGTGTCTTGCCCAAGGACACAACAGCAGAATACCCCTAGTGGGAGCTGGAATTGAACCCATGACCCTCCAATCATGAGGCAACCCGCTCTACCTCCTGAGCTGCTGCTGCCCTGATCTTGATCTTTTGTGGAGTACCACAGGGAGTTGTTTTGGGTCTCAAGCTATTGCACTCCAAAATATGCTGAAGTTATCAAACTTTTATATTTGTAATACTCTTATTATGATCTGAGTATATCACAACCTCTGTACCGTACTCAGCTCTGCTGTTATTTCCTTTTGGAGCCATCTTTGTCTTTCGGATTATTAATTCAAATGCTGTAAAGTTTAAACCAACTGCTTATTTATTCTGGATTTTTGGGAGTCAAGTCTTTTAAATAGAGGTGTAAATAACTAAATCTGACACCCCAGGTCTTGGTAAAGTCTGGCCTCTGTAATCAGTGCTATGTTGAGGTTTTGTGAGCGTGTCTGAGCTGGCCAGACTCCACACCTGTAAAGAGGCTCCTGTGGTGGCGGTAATGATACTCTTTTCCATTACTACGGGGATGTAGATTAATAGAGCGATGCATTACTGTGTGCTTGGCAGAGTTTCTAGTGCAGCAGCAGCTTTTGCTTCCCCCACAGAAATGATTAGTTCAAACAAATACCACCGATGCGGTCTCATTGGCTGTCACACTCGAGATGCCTCTGGCTGTCCCTCCAGCTCTGATTGGTTTGGGCCCTTCTCAACTGCTTATTTTCTTTATGATAGTTATTGTTGTTGGGAAAGATCGTTCTGCTGCATGGATTTGTCACAATCATTATTATCTGACAAGCCAACCAATGAGAAGTGCTCAGGAGTAGAAGGTTGAGTCATCATTTGCAGGAACTCTTCTCCATGTGAAGGTTCACTAAGTTTACAGCGTGTTTGTGCTTGACTTGTGGACTTGCTGCCTTTTGCTCCGCTGAATACTCAAACCTGAAAGGCTGTCACTGGAAGTGCCGCTGCAACTCCAAGTGTTCATGTCGCTGTGACTGTTCTGACCTAACTTACTCATCTCCCAACCAACAGCGAGTGTCACAATGCAACGGATCGCATAAAGGTGCGCGTTTGGGATGAGGACGATGACATCAAGTCACGCGTGAAGCAGCATTTCAAGCGTGAGTCGGATGATTTTCTGGGCCAGACCATCATCGAGGTCCGCACGCTCAGCGGGGAGATGGACGTTTGGTACAACCTGGGTAAGAGACCAAATCTCTAGAAGATCAGGTGTCCCAGAGGATAGCTGTTGAATGTTGAGATTTATTATCAGCGAAACACAACATCAGAGTTTACTGAGGCGCTAAACTTTACTCAAGTGTAAAAAGCTGTTAAAACAGAGACAGAACTCTAGCTGCCTCGTTTACATCAGTGAACGATTAATACACGTTTCATTACCTTTTAACTGTGTATTCAAATAGAATCTAACAGGAAATCAAACATCCAGGCATCTGATTGCTGTTCTGACTTTTTCAGCTCCATCCGAGGTCAAAAGGAAGTGTGGCTTTTATTGATGGAGGATCTGACCAATTATTCCTTTGATTTAAAGGGAAAACAAAGCAAACAAAGTTTCTGATGGATTCCGTTTGCTTGTATTTTATTTTCATTCTATTGAAAAATAATCAGAAAAATCAGGATGTTTACCAAAATGGATGATTTTCAAACAAAACAACAATACTACTACTACTACTACTACTACTACTACTACTACTACTACTACTACTACTACTAATAATAATAATAATAATAATAAAAATAATAAAAATATTAGTAATAATAATAATAACAACCCCAATACTACTACTACTACTACTACTACTAATAATAATAATAATAATAATAGTAATAAAAATATTAGTAATAATAATAATAACAACCCCAATACTACTACAACAACTACTAATACTAATAATAAAAATAATAGTAATAATAATAATAACAACCCCAATACTACAACTACTACTACTAATAATAAAAATAATGTTATTATTAATAATAATAATAATAACCCCAATACTACTACTACTACTACTACTACTACTACTACTACTAATAATAATAATAATAATAATAGTAATAAAAATATTAGTAATAATAATAATAACAACCCCAATACTACTACAACTACTACTACTAATAATAATAAAAATAATAGTAATAATAATAGTAATAATAACAGCCCCAATAACACTACTACTACTACTACAACTACTACAACTACAACTACTAATAATAAAAATAATAGTAATAATAATAATAACAACCCCAATACTACAACTACTACTACTAATAATAAAAATAATGTCTCGTCTCGTCTCGTCTCGTCTTCCTCCGCTTATCCGGGTCCGGGTCGCGGGGGCAGCATCCCAACTAGGGAGCTCCAGGCCGTCCTCTCCCCGGCCTTGTCCACCAGCTCCTCCGGCAGGACCCCAAGGCGTTCCCGGACCAGATTGGAGATGTAACCTCTCCAACGTGTCCTGGGTCGACCCGGGGGCCTTCTGCCGGCAGGACATGCCCGAAACACCTCCCCGGGGAGGCGTCCAGGAGGCATCCTGACCAGATGCCCAAACCACCTCAACTGGCTCCTTTCGATCCGGAGGAGCAGCGGTTCTACTCCGAGTCCCTCCCGAATGTCCGAGCTCCTCACCCTATCTCTAAGGCTGAGCCCGGCCACCCTACGGAGGAAACTCATTTCGGCCGCTTGTATCCGCGATCTCGTTCTTTCGGTCATTACCCAAAGCTCATGACCATAGGTGAGGATTGGGACGTAGATCGACCGGTAAATCGAGAGCCTGGCTTTCTGGCTCAGCTCCCTCTTCCCCACGACAGATCGGCTCAGCGTCCGCATCACTGCAGACGCCGAACCAATCCGCCTGTCGATCTCCCGATCCCTCCTACCCTCACTCGTGAACAAGACCCCGAGATACTTAAACTCCTCCACTTGAGGTAGGACCTCTCCCCCGACCCGGAGGTGGCAAGCCACCCTTTTCCGGTCGAGAACCATGGTCTCAGATTTGGAGGTGCTGATCCTCATCCCAGCCGCTTCACATTCGGCCGCGAACCTACCCAGCAAGAGCTGAAGGTCAGAGCTGGATGAAGCTAGGAGGACCACATCATCCGCAAAAAGCAGAGACGAGATTCTCCTGCCACCAAACTCGACACACTCCACACCACGGCTGCGTCTAGAAATTCTGTCCATAAAAGTGATGAACAGAACCGGTGACAAAGGGCAGCCCTGGCGGAGTCCAACCCTCACTGGGAACAGGTCCGACTTACTACCGGCTATGCGGACCAAACTCACGCTCCTCTGGTAAAGGGACTGAATGGCCCTTAACAGAAAGCCACCCACCCCATACTCCTGGAGCGTCCCCCACAGGGTGCCCCTGGGGACACGGTCATAAGCCTTCTCCAAATCCACAAAACACATGTGGATTGGTTGGGCAAACTCCCATAATGTTATTATTAATAATAATAATAATAACCCCAATACTACTACTACTACTACTACTACTACTACTACTACTACTACTAATAATAATAATAATAATAGTAATAAAAATATTAGTAATAATAATAATAACAACCCCAATACTACTACAACTACTACTACTAATAATAATAAAAATAATAGTAATAATAATAGTAATAATAGTAATAATAACAGCCCCAATAACACTACTACTACTACTACTACAACTACTACAACTACAACTACTAATAATAAAAATAATAGTAATAATAATAATAACAACCCCAATACTACAACTACTACTACTAATAATAAAAATAATGTTATTATTAATAATAATAATAATAATAATAATAATAACCCCAATACTACTACAACTACTACTACTACTAAAACTACTAATACTACTACAACTACTACAACTACTACTACTACTAATAAAATAATAGTAATAATAATAATAATAACCCCAATAATACTAATACTACTACTATAACTACTATATATATACTATAATAAACATGTATGATAACAGATATATATCACAGGTGTATAATAACAGATGTGTAATAAGAAGGTGTGAATGAAAAGTAAAAAAACACAGGTGTACATTAATAGATATGTAATAACAGGTTTATAGCAGAGCCTGGTTTCCTATCTCTGCTCTCATCCTTCTTGCTGGATGGAGGCTGAATGGCGCCGCGATGAAAACTCCAGCTGCTGCTAAACTGATGTGACTGTCAGCTTTCTATCTTTGCCTCTTTAGCTAAAAGGAGGTCATGTGGATGATAGTAACCCTCTTCAGATCTGCTGCTCTGTCGTTGTCCACCCTCCAGCTGCTCTCAGCCGCTCCAGTCTGAGCCAGCGCATCTGCAAAATTAGCTGTTTTTGTCAAGTTGTTATTCGTCACTCGTCTTTCTACCAGCTGATGCTGTAGAAATCACTGTTGAGTTAGGTGTGTGTGTGTGTGTGTGTGTGTGTGTTTGAACCTGTTATGTGTCCATAAACGTGTGTGTTATTTGTGTGTAATGTTTGTCATGTTTTGCTGACTTTTGCTGAGTTGCTCTCGATCTTATTGCTGGCTTCTTTTGCGGTTATGGATTTTGGATGATGTCACTGCTGACTTAGGTTTGCACCTGCTGATGTTGTCTAGGACAGGTTTCTACTGACCAGTCGTTCCTTCTCTGGTTGAGTTGCTCGTTAGTGCTACTAGAAAACGTGAGGAACGTATGGACATGTTTTAATCTGCTTTTAAAGTAAATCTGTAAATAAAAACCTGTAAACGTGTCCAGGTGAAAACACCTGCTGCAGGTTACAGCCCCACCCGAGAGGCGGATGCTTTTAAACGGAGGATTGTTTAATGTTTGTCTCTCAGACAAAAGAACGGATAAGTCTGCCGTGTCTGGAGCCATCAGACTTAAGATCAGCGTGGAAATGAAAGGCGAGGAGAACGTGGCTCCGCCCCATGGCCAGTACACCTGTTTACACGAGGTAACAGAAACATTACCGCGCCAAACCTAAAGCTGCAACATCAGACCAACTGAGCAAACATCTGGTCTTCTGTGCCCCTACAGAACTTGTTCCACTACCTGACTGAAGTGAAGAGCAGCGGGGTGGTGAAGATCCCACAGGTCAAGGGGGACGACGCGTGGAAGGTCTACTTTGACGACGTGTCTCAGGAGATAGTGGATGAATTTGCCATGAGATACGGGGTGGAGTCCATCTATCAGGCCATGACGTTAGTACCTCCCTGATTTACGGCCTTTCCCTCATCAATCTGTCATTGTCTCATTGAGCAGGTTGGACGAGCCAATGGGACGAGAGGAGAAGTAAAGGTGTCTTCTCAGCAGAAATGGAGCTCAGGAGAGAGTCGAGCTCCTCGGTTTGATTGATTAGTTGTTGGTTTGGAGAAAGAAAAGAACTTCTAACCAGCCTTGGTCGCATCGATCCCAGTCACACAACAACCTGCTTTCCTCTGTGATCAGCCAGAACACACACACACACACACACACACACACACGCACATGCACATGCACGCACACACACACACACACGCACACACACACACACACGCACACACACACACACACGCACACACACACACGCACTCACGCTTACACGCACGCACACACACACACACACACACACACACACATGCACACGCACACACACGCACACGCACGCACGCACTCACGCGTACACGCACGCACACACACACACATGCACACACACACGCACTCACGCGTACACGCACGCACACACACCGACACACACACACACACACACAGACACACACACACGCACACACACGCACACACACACACACACACACACACACACACACACGCACGCGTACACGCACGCACGCACACACGTGCACGCACGCCTACACGCACACATGCACGCACACACACAGACACACACACACACACGCACGCATACATGCACGCACACACACAGACACACACACACAGACACACACACATGCACACGCGTACACGCACGCGTACACACACACACACGCACGCACGCATACATGCACGCACACACAGACACACACACAGACACACACACACGCACACGCGTACACGCACGCGTACACACACACACAAACCACGGTATCCATTCACCAAACACTTCAAGGATAAAATATTAGAATTTCTCGTCTCTCGTCTCGTCTCTCTCGTCTTCCTCCGCTTATCCGGGTCCGGGTCGCGGGGGCAGCATCCCAACTAGGGAGCTCCAGGCCGTCCTCTCCCCGGCCTTGTCCACCAGCTCCTCCGGCAGGACCCCAAGGCGTTCCCGGACCAGATTGGAGATGTAACTTCTCCAACGTGTCCTGGGTCGACCCGGGGGCCTTCTGCCGGCAGGACATGCCCGAAACACCTCCCCAGGGAGGCGTCCAGGAGGCATCCTGACCAGATGCCCAAACCACCTCAACTGGCTCCTTTCGATCCGGAGGAGCAGCGGTTCTACTCCGAGTCCCTCCCGAATGTCCGAGCTCCTCACCCTATCTCTAAGGCTGAGCCCGGCCACCCTACGGAGGAAACTCATTTCGGCCGCTTGTATCCGCGATCTCGTTCTTTCGGTCATTACCCAAAGCTCATGACCATAGGTGAGGATTGGGACGTAGATCGACCGGTAAATCGAGAGCCTGGCTTTCTGGCTCAGCTCCCTCTTCCCCACGACAGATCGGCTCAGTGTCCGCATCACTGCAGACGCCGAACCAATCCGCCTGTCGATCTCCCGATCCCTCCTACCCTCACTCGTGAACAAGACCCCGAGATACTTAAACTCCTCCACTTGAGGTAGGACCTCTCCCCCGACCCGGAGGTGGCAAGCCACCCTTTTCCGGTCGAGAACCATGGTCTCAGATTTGGAGGTGCTGATCCTCATCCCAGCCGCTTCACATTCGGCCGCGAACCTACCCAGCAAGAGCTGAAGGTCAGAGCTGGATGAAGCTAGGAGGACCACATCATCCGCAAAAAGCAGAGACGAGATTCTCCTGCCACCAAACTCGACACACTCCACACCACGGCTGCGTCTAGAAATTCTGTCCATAAATGTGATGAACAGAACCGGTGACAAAGGGCAGCCCTGGCGGAGTCCAACCCTCACTGGGAACAGGTCCGACTTACTACCGGCTATGCGGACCAAACTCACGCTCCTCTGGTAAAGGGACTGAATGGCCCTTAACAGAAAGCCACCCACCCCATACTCCTGGAGCGTCCCCCACAGGGTGCCCCTGGGGACACGGTCATAAGCCTTCTCCAAATCCACAAAGCACATGTGGATTGGTTGGGCAAACTCCCATGCCCCCTCCATCACCCTTGCAAGGGTATAGAGCTGGTCCACAGTTCCACGGCCAGGACGAAAACCACATTGCTCCTCCTCTATCTGAGATTCAACTATCGATCGGACCCTCCTCTCCAGTACCTTGGAGTAGACCTTTCCAGGGAGGCTGAGGAGTGTGATCCCCCTATAGTTGGAACACACCCTCAGGTCACCCTTCTTAAAGATGGGGACCACCACCCCGGTCTGCCACTCCCTAGGAACTGCCCCCGATGACCACGCAATGTTGTAGAGACGTGTCAACCATGACAGCCCTACAACATCCATAGCCTTGAGATACCCAGGACGAACCTCATCCGCCCCCGGGGCTCCGCCGCTGTGTAGTTGTTTGACTACCTCAGCAACTTCTGCCCCCGAGATCGGACAGTCCATCCCCAGGCCTCCCAGCTCTGGTTCCTCCTCGGAATGCGCATTGGTGGGATTGAGGAGCTCCTCAAAGTATTCCTTCCACCGTCCGACTATAGCCTCAGTTGACGTCAGCAGCTCCCCATCCCCACTGTAAACAGTGTGAGCGAGTTGCTGCCTTCCTCTCCTGAGGCGCCGGACAGTTTGCCAGAACCTCTTTGGAGCCGATCGATAGTCTTTCTCCATGGCCTCACCAAACTCCTCCCACGCCCGAGATTTTGCCTCGGCAACTGCCACTGCTGCACCCCGCTTGGCTATCCGGTACCTGTCTGCTGCCTCCGGAGACCCACAGACCAGCCACGCCCTGTAGGCCTCCTTCTTCAGCCTGACGGCTCCCCGAACCTCTGGTGTCCACCAGCGGGTACGGGGGTTGCCACCACGACTGGCACCGGCCACCTTACGACCACAGCTAGCAACAGCCGCCTCGACAATCGCAGAGTGGAACAAGGCCCACTCGGACTCAATGTCCCCCACTGCTCTCGGGACGTGGTCAAAGCTCTGCCGGAGGTGGGAGTTGAAGACCGTCTTGACAGGTTCTTCTGCCAGGCGTTCCCAGCAGACACTCACTATGCGTTTGGGTCTGCCAGGTCTACGCGGCATGTTCCCTTGCCATCTGATCCAACTCACCACCAGATGGTGATCAGTTGACAGCTCCGCCCCTCTCTTCACTCGGGTGTCCAAAACATACGGTCGCAGGTCAGATGATATGACTACAAAATCTATCATCGACCTGTGACCTAGGCTGCCCTGGTACCAAGTGTACCGGTGGGCATCCTTATGTTCGAACATGGTGTTCGTTATGGCCAAACTGCGGCTTGCACAGAAGTCCAATAACAAAACACCGCTCGAGTTCTGATCAGGTGGGCCGTTCCTCCCAATCACACCCCTCCAGGTCAAGCTGTCATTGCCCACGTGAGCATTGAAGTCCCCCAGCAGGACAATGGAGTCCCCTGATGGAGCACTATCTAGCACTCGTCCCAGGGACTCCAAAAAGGGTGGGTACTCTGAACTGATATTTGGCCCATAAGCACAAACAACAGTCAGGACCCGTTCCCCAACCCGAAGGCGCAAGGAAGCTACCCTCTTGTCCCCCGGGGTAAACCCCAACACACAGGCAGAGAGTCTCGGGGCTAACAAAAAGCCAACCCCAGCCCTCCGCCTCTCACCCGGAGCAACTCCAGCAAAGTAGAGTGTCCAACCCCTCTCCAGGTCTCGGGTTCCAGAGCCAATGCAATGTGTCGAGGTGAGTCCGACTATATCTAGCCGGTACCGCTCAACCTCTGCCACAAGCTCCGGCTCCTTCCCCGCCAGCGAGGTGACGTTCCATGTCCCAAAAACTAGTTTCCTTGTCCGGGGATTGGACCGCCAAGGCTCCCGCCTTGGTCTGCCACCCGATTCACATTGCACCGGACCCTTCATGTTCCTCCTGCGGGTGGTGGGTCCACAGTTGGACGAGCCCATGTATCCGGTTCGGGCTGGGCCCGGCCGGGCCCCATGGGCGAAAGCCCGGCCACCAGGCGCTCGCTCACGGGCCCCAACCCCAGGCCTGGCTCCAGGGTGGGACCCCGGTAACCCTCCGGGCCGGGTACTCCGACTCTTCGTTTTCACCGCCATGAAAGATCCTTCGAACCGTTCTTTGTCTCACCCTTCACCTAAGACCAATTTGTCATGGGAGACCCTACCAGGGGCACTAAGTGCCCCAGACAACATAGCTCCTAGGATCATTAGGGCACTCAAACTCCTCCACCACGATAAGGTGACGGTTCAAGGAGGAGAATATTAGAATTTACTGTTTGCAAAAGTTAAAATGTGAGAGAAGCAACATTTATCCAGGTTTTCCTGCTGCAGGTCTTTAAAGTGTTGCCAGGTTGTCCTGTTGCTACTTTCATCACCTGTTTTCCGTTTGGCCCTTTGAGCCTGTCTGCTTTTCCTCACAGCAGCTCCTTTATCAATCCTCCTGCCTCCCCAGCAGGCCCATCTCCTCATCGGCATTCCCTTTAGCTCCACACAGTTGCTTTAACAAGCTCTAATTCTTCTCAATTACCAGCTGCAGTATGTCCACCCAACAAATGAGAGCAGCTGCATCAGCAGCAGCGGCTTGATTGTGTCATAAATATGGTGGACGCCTTTAAATGTTCTGTGCTGTATCTGCCGTGGACTTGTTCAGTGATGCTTCACTGTGCAGCGCTGCATGGAGAGTCTGTGGGTTTATTTCATGCAGACAAGAGAGGCAGTGAGTGGTCATGTGACATCTTCATCAGGTAGAACGAACGCTTAGCTGGAGTTGGAGAGGACTTTCCTTTGTGTTCCCTTTCTGGTCATGAAGCATCGACTTCCAGTCACTGTTGACATGATGGCTGTGAGCAGCTGTGAGGACTCTCCCCTGCACACACACACACACACACACACACACACACACACACACACACACACACACACACACACACACACACACACACACACACACACACACACACACACACACACACACACACACACACACACACACACAGTCCTGCTACGTCTTCATTCCTCGTTATCTCCTCTCGTTTCCTCCCAGCTGTCTGAAACTTTGGGACTACTTCTCCATCCACGGGTGCAAACCCAAGCAGGCTAACACAACACAGCCTCGCTCTAAACAGGGCTCAAGAGATCCAGCCCCAAAGCACCATGGGAGTTCAGCGGAACTCTTCACCACACTCTTCATCACTGTTGTTGCTCGCCTAACTCCACGTGCTTCTGGGGGATTTGGAGGCTGAAGGCAGAGTAATTAAACAGGCCTTCCAATGAGAATGTGTGTGTGTGTGTGTGTGTGTGTGTGTGTGTGTGTGTGTGTGTGGGTGTGTGTGTGTGTGTGTGTGTGTGTGTGTGTGTGTGTGTGTGTGTCTGTGTGTGTGTGTGTGTGTGTGTGTGTGTGTGTGTGTGTGTGTGTGTGTGTGGGTGTGTGTGTGTGTGTGTGTCTGTGTGTGTGTGTGTGTGTGTGTGTGTGTGTGTGTGTGTGTGTGTGGGTGTGTGTGTGTGTGTGTGTGTGTGTGTGTGTGTGTGTGTGTGAGTGGGTGTGGGTGTGTGGGTGTGTGGGTGTGTGTGTGTGTGTGTGTGTGTGTGTGTGTGTGTGTGTGTGTGTGTGTGTGTGTGTGTGTGTGTGTGTGTGTGTGTGTGTGTGTGTGTGTGTGAATACATCATTACTCGTGGCTTAATGCCTTTAAGAAGAAATGACTCGCTGAGATATTCTTGGTCTGTTTTCCAGGCTTTGTGTTCAGTTCTGTTTCTTCTGGTGTGTAAAAACTCTCGGACTGAACTCGTGTCCATCGTGTCGAAGCAAAGAAAATCCAACACAACAAAAAACACAACATCATCATTTCTGAGTACAGACTAAAGTATAAAAACAAGTTTTACTCATTTGAAAACATCATTTAAACATGAAGTGGCAGCACGCTTACAGGATTAGGGTTCGTTCTGTCATCATACTTCCTGTCCTCCCCAACATAAACCTCGTCCACAGCATCCAGATGTCCGCCTGCCACGAGTCACTCCCGAGTCTCATTCAGAAGCTCAGGAGACCTGGGTGACTCCGCCTCGAGTTTCAGCCCCCGCTCGTCCCTCACAGAAAACGCCGTTGGGCTGACAAGTAAATTGTCTTCAAGTGGCCATCGTTTAGTGCGGAGGGTCACCGTGACCCGGGCGACAGTTCTGCTGGCTCTCCTCCAGCGTGAGGTTGAAAAGCATCTGAAGAAGAACCCGTGGCTTCTGTTTCATCCACTCTGCTGCAGCTTCCTGTCCTCAGCAGCACGAGTCGCTCAGCTGTGATTGATGACATCATTAGTTCTGGCCGGTGAAGACATAACAGGGTAGTTGGAAGTACGCATGTCCTGACCGGTTGACCAGAGTTAATTACCCGTAACGTTAACATCAATCCCCTGGTGGGCAGCAGAGCTGGGGGGTTACTTCAGTCTAAGGGGACTGTTGTCGGTCTCTGCTGGCCTGGTGCTCCGGTTCTGGTCCTAACCCCAACCTAACCAGATTAGCAGGAACCTGCCGGGTAGAGCGCGGCGTCTGAATGCTCCTTCTCTTCTCTGCAGGCATTTCTCTTGCCTGTCTGCCAAGTACATGTGTCCTGGTGTGCCAGCAGTGATGAGCAACCTGCTCGCCAACATCAACGCCTACTTCGCCCACACCACCACCACCACCACCACCACCGCCTCTGCTTCAGACAGATTTGCTGCGTCTAACTTCGGGGTGAGTGAACCTGTTCCTGTCAGCTGTTAGACCTTCTGCTTCTCGGCTTTCTTCTTCTTGTTTTCCTCTCAAAGTTCTGCTCTGACGTCGTCCCACCGCGCTTTCACTTAAACTCTGAATGAGCTGATTCTGCGAGACCTCACAGAGTTTGGCAACGCAGCCAAACCGCTACGTTTTATTCCAGGAAGTGAAAATGAATCACCGTTGACTCGCCGTGTGGGTCTGAAGTTTTAGGCTCGGTGCTTCGAGCAGAAACTAAATCATCCACCTCTGATCTCTACAGAGGGAGAAGTTTGTCAAACTACTGGATCAGCTGCACAACTCGCTGAGGATCGACCTTTCTAAATACCGGGTACGTACATGAGAGTGTGTGTGTGTGTGTGTGTGTGTGTGTGTGTGTGTGTGTGTGTGTGTGTGTGTGTGTGTGTGTGTGTGTGTGTGTGTGTGTGTGTGTGTGTGTGTTTGTATGCATGTATATGTGTGTGTGTGTGTGTGTGTGTGTGCATGCATGTATGTGTGTGTGTGTGTGTGTGTGTGTGTGTGTGTGTGTGCATGCATGTATACGTGTGTGTGTGTGCATGCATGTATACGTGTGTGTGTGTGTGTGTGTGTGTGTGTGTGTGTGTGTGTGTGTGTGTGTGTGTGTGTGTGTGTGTGTGCATGCATGTATATGTGTGTGTGCGTGTGTGTGTGTGTGTGTGTGTGTGTGTGTGTGTGTGTGTGTGTGTGTGTGTGTGCATGCATGTATATGTGTGTGTGCGTGTGTGTGTGTGTGTGTGTGTGTGTGTGTGTGTGTAAGTGAGCTGTAGGGAATACGGCAGCTTAGTTTGACTTCTCTGCTCTTTACTCCACAACCAGCAGCTGGGTATCAGTTACATTTTGATTTGTGTTGTTGTGTCAAGCCCAGTTTTTGTGCTCGAGCAGGGTAACAACTAAAACATGATGGATGTGCAATATTGAGGACCAAGGTTTAGAGAGCTGGTGTAAAAAGAAGCCACCGTTGTTTTTACTTCAGTAGTTGGTGGGTTGGTGTCGGCTGATCTTTCGGCCATCTGCCGCCGCCCGTGCCCACTGCCCTGGTCATGAGTTCAGAAGTTCTTGTCTGCTTCATTTGGTTTGTAGCAGGAACAAGAACAAGCGCACGACTGGAGTGGCCCACTGGTGACCAGCAGAGGAGAGACGATGTATTTATTTTCCATTCAAGCTGCACCGCTCTCAGGTGGAAGAATGGTTCCACCTGAGCAGGAAAACGGAGCCTTTTAAGACTCCCTCGTGGTTTCACACCCAGGTGGACCTGAAGAGGCCGCTATCAGAAGCAATTCCACGTCATGTTTCAAGACTTTCCTGAAAGCCTGTATAAGTGACCAAAGAACACTCCAGAGGTTCTGGTTCTGCTGAGCCCCGCCTCCATCCAGCCACACCTGTGAGAACTTCCTAGGAGCACCTCTGCTGGTTCCCTCTATGCTCTGATTGGTCAGCTGGCTTATTACTAATTTAGGATTACAGGTTGAAAACTCCCAGAACGAGCCTGCCAGCATGATTTATGTCCACATCCCCACGGCAGCAGGCGTGGTGTTCATTACAACCCGAACACATTCATCTGGTGCTACAACAGTCCCTGTCGATGTTAACAGCTTTTATTGATGCAGCATCGATCCACGCGTTCAGACGGCCGCTGTACGTTTCCCCGAGCCGAGCTTCCCAGTTTCCTCCTCAGCTTAAACATGGAAAAACACCTCTATCACATCTCTATCTGAGCGGCTCTGGTGAAAGGTCACTGCTCAGAGGGCCACTCACACTTGTAATATGGCATGCCACTGAATCATTTATTGTTACCATCAGTTAGGGGTTGTGCAGCTGCACCTCTCTGAGGTGGAATTGTGGGTTTTCTGGATGAATCATGGCCGCTGCACCAGGCACACGCTGCTGGCACCTTTATGTAATAATGTGATGAATTCTCAGGCGTCACGCGTTTGTCACCACCGCCTTCATCACGATATTTCCTCAGCGATGGATCTAATTTATCTGCTGGGGTTAAATGGAGGCAGGTCAGGAGCTCGGAACAACCTGTGTGTGTGTGTGTGTGTGTGTGTGTGGGGGGGGGTTTGAGCAGTCCTGTGTGTGAAGCCGAACTCAGAGCTCCAGCTTACCCAGTGGGTTTGTGGAAGGTTAAAGGAAAACAGGAAATACATTTGATCGCTATTGAATACTTTTATTATATATTACATTACCTTTGAGGGTATCTGTGCTCCAGGAGGGTCTGGAAAGAAAAAGGCAGAGAGAGAGAGAGAGAG